GTTTCCTTCGCAGGGTGATAGGGCGCACTCTTATAGATAGGGTGAGGAGCTCGGAGTAAAGCCGCTGCTCCTCCACATAGAAACAAGTCAGCTGAGGTGCCTCGTGCATCTGTTACGGATGCCTCCTTGACGCCTACCTAGGTAGGTGTTCCAGGCATGTCCCACAGGGAGGAGGCCTAGGGGAAGACCCAGGACACACTGGAGGGACTATGTCTCTCAGCTGGCCTGGGAATGTCTCGGGATTCCCCTGTGGAGGAGCTGGAGGAAGTGTCTGGAAAAATAAAAGTCTAGGTTTCTCTCCTGAAAGTGCTGAATGAATGAATGAATGAATGAATGAATGCTTAACACTGAATGAGAAAATGTGTTCATTATTTTGAACACGTGGAAGAAAAGGAAAAGGGGATTGTCTCAATGCAGAGTGATTTTAATTAATTATAGAAAACACAGTGCTTTAAACTTTCAATAATCTGTATATACGACATGTATAGCTCTGGGGTCAGAAAGTTCTCAGAAGCCAACATTATCCTACATTATTATTTTTGTATGCGTTTCTGAAAGGTAAATGAAGGTGTAGGTTATACATTGCATTGTCAAATGCAGAGCTCCTCTTTGAAAAAGAAGAAATCCTGCAAAAAGATCAAAGCAGGTATGAAAAAGTAACCCAAAAGTAACTCAAAAGTAACGTAAAGCATTACTTACCATAAAAAGTAACTAAACAATACTAGTTACATTTTATGAGTGTAACTTAATATTGTAATGTATTACTTTCAAAAGTAACTTTCCTCATCACTTGATGTCTGTGGCTAGTGGCTATGGGTTTCCAGCTTTCTTCAAAATATTAACTGTTGTGTTCAACAGAATAAAGAAAGTCAAACAGGTTTGTAACAAGTGAAGTGTGAGAAAATGATAACAGAATCTTTCGTTTTGGTTGAACTTACATCAAAAATAAGTGCTATTTAATTCATGTTTCATTGCAAAACACATGAATAAGTGGGATATCTGTAAGGTTGTGGACAGTTTTTGGTGGTATGAGTAATCTTTATGGTGTAAGTGATTGGCCAACAGTGTTAATGCAATTAGAGAAATCAATTACATGTTAACATACAAGCATATTTACATAAAAGTATGTACACAGTAAGTGAATTAACGTTAATTAAAAAGTAAGTACATTAAAATTAAGGTTAATTTGTATTAAGTAGGAGAAAACTAGGATATATGAAGCTCTCATCTGAAGTGAATATGTGAGATTGACCATTTCTGCACTGTATTGATTGCAGCAGGAACACAAATATTTCATGTTAGCGAAGAGGAATAGCATGATAAATATGTACCTTTATTTTTTCCTCTGGAGTGAGGGAGATTTTTATCTCCAAGTTCTCAATTTGCCTTAACTTCTTCTGGAGTTTCCTGACCTCCCCCATCTGAATGAAGTGTAAACACAAACCCAGAGCCGATGGGATTCAAACTGCAGGGGTTCTTCGAATAGCACTGGCTATTTGTTAAAGCTGCGATCATTTATCGATGTTTTGATATGAGTTTAATCCACGGTGGAAAGTATGGATAAGGGTTTGTTGTTGTTTTACTACAGACTACACTCGCGGATACAGTATGCAGACGTGTAACACACACAGACCTCATCAGCCGGAAATCAGTTGCGACTGACGGACCTCATCTAAAGGAAACACTTCTGAATCTCTCTGGCGACATCGCGTGGATACAGCGAATTATTACTTGTCAATAATTTATTTCCTATTTATCATTACATGCTGCTAATGTGGCTTGTCGTTATTTATAAAAATTACATTTATTATCTCTGACACGTAGAACGTAATGACACGTTCTGCTTTACAAAAGTCTCTAAATGCATCTGAATGTGGTTTGATTGGGTAATCTTTTTATTGAACTTCAGAAATCTAAAAACACAGTCAGTTCTTACAGAAACTAACTGAAAAAAGCATACAGAAAAACAACAGTACTAGTCATGGCACATGCAATAACCCCAGAGTGACTTAATTAATAAAAAATAAACAAAAAATGTCAAAGGGAATATTGCCTTTATTTATATTTGTGTGTATATTTCAATTTTCTTAAACATTTTTGTTAATTGCACACAATCAAGCTGAATATGTTGCTGTGAAAATACTAAAAACAAACATATACAGTGTCTTTAAACTTCTCCAAAGTCTTCAAAATTGAAAGGAACTTGTTTTCTGTCCATAGCTTGGCGGCAGCTTGGTCAGCTTTTTTAATTAACACAAATATGTCATTAACAATTGTAAAGTTATTATCTTTTCGTGGTTATTTTAAGGTTGTAACTCTTAAAAAATTCCTTTCAAAAAGTCCTTTATAAAGTTACTAAATAACAGATGTACCCATGCCAAAGGCAAACAGCGTTGATTGAAACATTCTTCTCTTTTGTGAAACCTTCTCATATAGTGTGTAGAGCACAGGCGTCAAACGCAGCTCCTGGAGGACCGCAGCTCTGCACAGTTTAGTTCCAACACTTATTAAACACACCTGATCAAATTGAGTGCTTTAGGCTTCTTTGATACCTACAGATAGGTATGTTTGAAGCAGGGCTGGAACTACCACCCCTGGGGCCTGTTTCATTAAGGAGGTTCAACCAAGTCAGAGTTTAAACTTGAACTCTGAGTTGATTTACCGAGAGATTAAAAAAAGAGTTTTCGGTTTCAGGATAGTGAATCTGAGTTGGGTCAATCAACTTTGAGTAGACCAAAGAGTTAAGTGCACACACTGTGACTATAAAATGGCATTATCAATAGATTCTAGATATTATGAGTGATGGCAACATCCTAAAAAAAGAGATCAGCATTTCTTTCTCCAGCTGAACTTGATCTGCTCATGCCAAGTTATAGCAAATATGACCATATATTTTAAAAAGCAACATCACTGCATCAGTGAAACAGAGACAGTTAGCGTGGGAAAACAGCTCAAGTCAATGTGTAATTTTACATTTAAAGTATAAAAGTATTTAAGTATAATAAAATAGGTAATGTTATGTGTGACGTTTATAAAATTTTACACGCGTTCCCACTTTTATATACGTTGATCAGTTTTAATAGATGTAAAAGTGCACTTGTGTTTCTGCCTTTTTTATTTATCAAGTGATAGAGGTTGACAAGCCATTCTTGTACATGACTTTGTTCTTTGTGTGACATAGTTGTAGGCAATAGCTATATTTCCTTTAAAATATATTAATTAAATTAATGTGCAAAACTACAATAACGCATAAAAGATGTGCAAATAAAGCAGCGTTTACATCCAACAAGTCAAAGAGAATAAAATCGTCACTTCCTGATGAACTGGTGCCAAATATCAACTGTAAAAACTGCGATAGTAGAAGCTGCAGCAAAAAAAAAATAGAGGCATTTGAAGCCATGAGACGGGGAGAACAGACACTCTTGACATGCTCCAGATGCTCTGGAGGTCATTAATAACATAATAACACTAGAAATGGTTAAGGCATTTTAGAAGGACCAAAACAGCGTTTCAGATGTGTTACAGTGTGCTCAGCCTGCTGGTTTGTCCATTCACACACATTTTCATCATCATATGATCTCTTATAACATTATTTTTTAATGCACATGCTGTAATTTGTTTAGTAAAAGCGTTTCCATCGTAGTTTAGGCGCATCTTTCTTATAGAATAAAAGTTTATCCTTCTCGTTTATCCGCATGTTTTTTATGCGTATTTTCAAAAGTTATGTGCATCATGGCGTTTCCATCAGGAAACATAAGGCTAAGGCGAGAAATACCACTTCGTCTTTAAAAAAGGTGAGGAGACAACAGAAACTCAAGTAATATATTACAGTAACTGACTCTGAGTTACCTCTCGTTCAGAAACAGGCTTGACTTACCCAGAGTTTTTCTCTTTTTAAGGTTAAAATACTCTGAGTTTTCACTTAACCTCCTTTCTGAAACAGGCCCCTGGTGTAGACCATTTGTTTCAGGACCCTCCTTTATATTGTAAAATTAATGCTTTATTCAAAATAATTATGTTGGGTTCTAATAAACATTATTTGGGTATTTTATATTGGATTATTTTATATTATATTTGTCAAAGCAGTTTTGTCAAAGCGACATAGTGACGCAGTGAGTAGTAGTGGCCTCCTCACAGCAAGAAGGTTGCTGGTTCGAGCCCTGGCTGGGTCAGCTTACTTCGGTTTCCCCCACAGTCCAAAGATTTGCGCTATAGGTGATATAGTGCATATCTTCTATATATATATATATATATATATATATATATATATATATATATATATATATATATATATATATATATATATATATACATACATACATACATATATTGTATAAAATAAAATATATAGGTTGTTTACTGTCCGTAGTGTGTGTAAATGAGAGTGTATGGAATCTATACAATGGATGTTTCCCAGTGCTGGGTTGCGGCAGGAAGGCCTTCCACTGCATAAAACATATGCTGGATAAGTTGTCGGTTCATTCCGCTGTGGTGACACAATTAATAAAGGGACTAAGCCGAAAAAAAAAGAGTTAATGAAGTTTTGTCAACTTAATTCTGCTTATTTAAAAGTAAAAGAAAAAACAGTCATTAAATATTCAATACTTTCACGCAAGAATTGAAATTGTATTTAAGCATATATTTACAACCCACTGATAACATTTGTATCATGCGTAAATTCTCTTTTAATATACTTTATTGATTACTGTAACGCAACTTTAAACAACAAAATCTAATCTGTGGGTATTAGCCCAGCACAGCTCTATTTACCAATAAGCAATTATGCAAGTAGGGTATTAAAAACCAAAATCTTTGTTTTCGCAACATTATCCAAACGCGTCCAAAACAAAAATGCTCTTGCACTAGTTTGACCTTACTGGACGGAAATGACGTCAGGACGCACAAGCAGCGTTCGTGCTGCTCGGGAGGAAGTGCTGTGTAGACAGTTCGGCCAACTCCGTAAGAAAAGAAAAAAATAGAAAAAAACACAAGGGAAGAAAAAAAAAACTAATTGAAATTCTTCAATCGGGCGGGTTCAGAAAGACTTCAGAAACTACCCCGATCGGAGGAAATCCCCGGCGGGCGACGCAAAAGTCTTGAGAGCTGGTAACCAGTCTTTATTTTCCACTTTGAAGCTTGTTTTCGGCTGTTGATGGGAGCCGCTGGCGCTGCTGTCGCCCGATCGTCGACACTCATGTGCCGGAAGTCTGCGTAAAACCGCCTCGGTCCCAGCGTCGACGTTTTTTTCCCACTTGTTCTGTTTTTTTCTATCGTTTTTTCGCCTTTCCTTTTTTATTTTACCAGGCAGTGGAGTGAATGCACGGGTCACGTCATTCTGTGGGCTGTCCGTCCGCCTCTGTTATCGCGCAGTAGATTCGCCTCAGCCTGTCAATTATATTCAGATATTTAGATTTAATGGCTGATTTGCAAATAAATATATTTTGAACATGCTTTATTATGGTGAAGCACATAATTTGATTTTAATCGCTTTCAAAGAAGAACAAAGCACAGCTCATTCTCTCCTCTGCAACAAAGTGATAAATTGCAGCCGGAGCTTCTGTATAAACCCGCCATCTGTAATGTTAGAACCCGGGCACAGAGACTCGCGACTGAAGTGATGGGGAGATATGATGTGTTATGAAGGGTTAGAGTCACATATGGAGTTTAGAACAAGCTGCTAATGCGAATTGGTTTGTTTTTGTAACAATGATCATAAATCGTGTTATGATAGATCAGATCTTCCTGTATAATATTTCGCCAGTCGTGCTCTTCAATTACATAAATAAACGTCGTATTAACATTTCTGGAATATGCATTTTCGCTGTTTTAAAGACACTGCAGGTGAATTGGATTTTTAAAAAAAACCTAATATTAATCTAATCACCATACGTCCCTAGTTAATTGATTACATTAGCAATTGCAGATGTTTTGTATTACGTTCTCCAAAATGTTAATTGCATGCATTTTTCTAACGTTAGTGATTCTATCATCAGGATTTTTGCAGCCTATACAGAATTGAGGTAAAGTTGTTTTTTTATTCGCACATTCGTTCATTTCACTATCCTTATATTGTTTGTTTACCATGCTAATTAGAATATTGGGTCTGAAATTGCATTTGCATATGACTTCTAAACGTCATTAGCACAATTAGACATTGGCAATATTTAACTGACTGTGAACAATGTTGTACTTTGATAGTCATTGGCTATCAATACATTGCAAATAATACTTGTCTGAAAGGATATTATTAAGCAAAAAGTCCCAATGTGCGAATATAAAACCAACTTTACCTCAATTGATTCAGAGTACTGATTCCTTGTCATGGTGATTGACCAATACAGGGTACTAATTCTGATGCTTCAAATTTTATAATGCATAAAGCACAATTTCCTTCTAAGTATGATACTTAAGTGGAGATCTCTCCTTATCTAAGAAAATAAATGAAGAATGTTGCATATAATATCTTAAACACATCTCTAATAACCATTTAGTGTGGACATGCCATGGTCAGAAGCAGCTTTACAGAAAATAATAGATAAAACAGATAAAAACATTGGTGGCATACGAAAAATGACTAAGAATGCAATTTAGAAACATTGCAAATGATGAAAGAACAACTCAAAATGTTTCAATGAAGAAAAAGTTTGGAGCACATATTTGATGCATAAGACGTTAAAATACACACCTATGATTTAGGGTTGCATAGTTTACTGGTACTATGGTTGTATCTAATGCTATAGCTACAAAATACTGACGGTGCCACTGTAGTTTGTAAATGGTAGTATCGTAATTAAGGGTCTATCTACAATAGATTACCTTGCATGTGGAAAATTCACTAAAATACTTACACATTTGTGCAACAATAGACTATTTCATTTTTATAGTCTGTGGAGCCTTTTAAGGTTGCAAAACTGTGTAGAATTTGCGCCTTTTAGAGTAGCCTATTGCACGTTTACTGACGCTTCGGTTTGAATGAACATCGGTTCATTTCTGTTTCTTTCAATATGATTTAGTAACTATAACAACCGTGAAAATCTCTTAAAAAAGAACGACTCACAAAGTGAAATTTTGAATTACTTTGGATTCTTACCTAAAAAAAAAAAAAAAAAAACAATCGATGAAAAACTCAAAATAGCAACAGGAAACATTGAAAACTATTTTTGACCACTTCATGTAGCCTAATTTTGTTGGACAAATGCTCTTTTTGTAACCAATATCATTTGGTATAATTTGTATCTTTGTTTTATTGTATTTTTTGTTGGTCAGTTATCTACAAAATAAACAAAAAGAATGAATACATTTTTGGTGAAGTGATGTGCAAATAATACTTTTTTCAATATAAAGGGAATTATGAATTTAATAATTTAAGCAGGCCTATTATAACATAAAATGTAGTATTTCTCACAATTTACTTTAAAATTTGAGTTATGAATTACAGTATCCTAATACTACTTGGTACCGTGATACATCAGCTGTTATAGTATCATAAGATGGTTAATAGTATCGGGACAACCCTACTATAAATAAATATTTGTTTATTGCAATAAGTATATCACAAAAAAGGTATATTATTAAATATTCAAGTTTTTAAAATATTTTAACGTTTTTTTTTATATCATTAAAATTTTCAGCCAAGTTTTAGTCTTGCAATATTGTCAAAAAACACAGACTGCATCATGTGTAAAACCGCAAACAAACACCTGGGATCAGTTCATGAGATACGCCAGATTGGCGAGTACCGATCGAGTCATAATAAGTGATTATCGAACGATACCAATCTTCGGCCAATCCATCGACGTATCCCTAATTATTTCAATAAATATCCACTAATTCATACATTCGTTTTTGACACAAAAAAAATCTTAGCATTGGATGAAGTCAAGTTTGAAATTCTAGTTTCTTTTTTTTTTCATATTAAAGGCAAACATTTTTCCCTCAGACAATGCTGCGAATAGCCAAAAATGTATTCATTTGGTAGAATAACATTTTGGATTTATAATATTTAACCAGGCAAATTATAAATCAACATATATTCCTTTGTAAAAACCTTCTGCCGTATTGGACATACGAGAATTACACATGGATTTTTGCTCCAAGGTGAAAACCCCACTCAGTGTTTGTGCTGCAAAACTCCTATCACTGTAAAACATATTTTACTGGACTGTCCTGCTTTTACTGATTCTAGAAGGACTTTTTATGAAATGAACTCTTTTAAGGACATTTTTGACAAAGTGGAACCAGAAAAGATTTTAGAATTTTTATCATGTATTAACACAAAAAATCTTATTTAATTTTTGTTTTATTTTGTTTGTTGATTTTTAAATTGTATATTTATTGTTGAAAGATTCCTGCCATGAAGATAGCCTTGGTTGCTGACATGGCACTAAATAAAAAATACATTACATTACATTGTAAAAACCTTCAAAATATATAGATATGAATCAAACTATGATGGTCTGTGTATGTAAGTGCCATTTTGTAGTGAAGATGATCTTTTTGTGCTGGAAGAAAAACTCATTTTCAGTAAACCGCTTTTAAGGCGTGTATTGTAATTGAAATCTGCAGACAAAATTGATTAAGTACGACAACACGTAAAACACGTAAAAGTCTATTTTTGGATGTTTACTTAATAGTTTACTGCAGATGCAGTTTAACTTTAATCCCAAAACCTCATAATTGACAGGCGCATGAAAAGAGGTTCAGATGCAAAAACCTCAAAGTGCCATCTAAAAAGTTCTTTTAATGTTAGCGTTTTTTCAGGCTCCTATGTCTTGATTCAGTAATTTCACTTTTATGGCAAAGAATAGGTTATTTTCATCACTTTCAACATTAAATAACTGTACATAAACATATGAGGCTGAAAAAAATGCTCACTATGGAAGAAAATTACAGATGGAACTTTTATAAAAGGTTTTTGCATCTGAACGGTTCACATGTTATGTTTTATTTTATCGTAATGTTTCCTTATCAAATTGTTTATGTTCCTGTGTCAGGGGTGATGGAGGACTCGCATTTCAGCTCTTCATACTTCTGGTCTCCTGTGCAGGGGCAGGTAAGCAAAATGATAAACACAAAAACATTTGCCACACTTACTATTGGATGGCTGCTTGCAGTTTACTGAACATGATCTTGGTGCATTTTAAAAATATATAAATCAAACAAGCTATAACACTGTCATAGCTAATAACATTATATAGTAATATATAATTTATATGATTTATTTTATTATTATTTTTAGTTGTCATTTTACTGAACACTGGAGTAGTAATTCAGCCTAACTATGAACACATGAAGAGGTCATTAAAAAAGTTTCTTAAAAAGTCTATTTAAAAAGGTAGCACTTTCGCTTAAGTACCCATTCTCACTATTAACTACTGGCTTATTACCTGCTTGTTATTAAGATATTGGCTGTTTTTTTAGTACTTATAAAGTATAATCTTATAAAATTCTATATCCCTAGTCCTATCCAACTATTAATAAACAGCTTATCGAGCTGAAAGTCTTAGTTTATAATAAGAATTGTACCTTAAAAAAGTGTGATCCACTGTGTTTATGATAGTTGTTTTTTTACGGTGTTTTTGATAAATAAATAATATAATAGATACAGATAAATCCAGCAAGTCATTTAAATATAAATATAACACATTAGTATATTTTTTAGCAAATTAGCATGTTATTTAGTCAAATTAAATAAATAATAATTTTCTATTTTTTTTTTTAATAAAGCATTTTATATGACCATGTTTAAATCATATTGGTGTGTTTCAGATCGAGAATGCTGTATTTCTCAATAAAGTAAAGGAGCAGCTTGGTCATGACAAAAGCCCCACCTACTCACATGGCCCTGCCCACTATCCCCCTACAGCAGTGGTGGCTGTCGCTGGGGGTCCCATGGAAGCACCGACATCAAGAACACTAAAACAAGAGCATGTGCAACCGTCCCATTCCTCACACAGTATAACAGTGGTGCCGGTACCACCTTCTGGCATCATGACGGCAGGTACTGTATGTGTGTGTTTATGATAATTAACTCATGGTCACAGAGTTCTATCTACTTAGGCCCCGTTTACACTAAAACGTTTTAGCTTCAAAACGCATACATTTTGTTATGGTTACACCTTACGTCCACACTACCCTGGAGTTCTCGAGCCCCGAAAACGGAATGTTTTGAACACACTGATGGGGCCGTTTTTGTTTTAAAGAGCCCATATTATGGGTTTTTGAAAATGCCCTTCCATGTAGTGTGTAACACAGCTCTAAGTGAAGTGAAATATCTAGCTAAGGCTTAAATCTGTAAGTGTACAGTGTTTAAAACTGTTGATTCATCTATAAAAGAGTCGACTCATAGTGCTTCAAACGAGTCGTCTTGATAACAAGTCATTAGGTGTTTCGCTATGACGTGACAACGAAACCAAGTAGTTGCGCGCGCAAACCTGGGAGATTTGAAACCTGCGGCCCCGCGCTCTAACCCAGAAAAAGCCACACACAAACACGCCGGTCAAATGAAGTGTCAATGTGCAGATGGATATTATTGAGTCGTCCGAGGAGGAGGGTAATGTGTGTGTGTGTACGCTGTGTCCTCCAAGGAGAGAGAAAAGAGCAGAGTGTGACAAGCTAGGAGATCTACTTGCCAGTTCTTCGAGTTTTTGACATCGGAAAACTGAGGGTTAGCTGCCGACATTCACACTACTTTTTGTATATTAAAAGAAACATTGCTTTATGTGATGTTAAGGCGTCGTGTACATATTTATATGACTGGCATTTTCACTGTATGCAAATTTATAACTACACATAGCCTAATCACTGCCTCCTTTCATTTTCATTGAAGATGAAACATTAGGCTCACTGTGTGGTTTTTCCAATATGTGCTTAATGTCAGGCTATAAGCACACATAAAAGATTATCAGAGGTAATGCATGGTAAAATTTAAATTAGCTGTCTCTTTTGCTGAATATAATAATCAGTAAGCTGTCATTTTAATAATCATTAGTAATTGTAAAAGTATAAAGTATAAAAGTTTATACAATATAGGAAATAGTGTACATGGTTACATAAATAGGTATATATCTTTGCGCTCTGCCAAAACACATTGCCTGAGAACAAGTAGGCTAATGGATTCAAAAGACTGACTCGTTAGATTTAGGTCTACTACACAAGATGAATTATACATCGCGTTTAACAACTACAGAGAGATAAAATCCAGTGGCGGATTCAGAATGGACTGGCCGGTGTTCGGCTGCTCTCAGCTGGGCAGGTGTGCTCAGAGCTCCCGCTGACTGCCTGGAGCTCAGACGTGAGAATATGCTGAAACAGCTTGTGTGGTCACATGATGTGTGTTTTCAGCGGTGTAGTGTGGACTGAGAGCTTTTCAGAAATGTTAGATAAAATGCCAGCGTGGACATGGATTGTTTTCATTCTAAAACTGTGTTTTAAAACTAAAACGTATCAGTGAAAACGGGACCTTAGTTGCACTTTTTGCACTTTTTTCACTTTTATAACTCTTCTAACACTTCCCTCATTTTTTCTAGCGGGTTTGGTCACCCTGGTGTCTCCGGTGTCTTCGGCTCAGTCTCTTATTCCTGGACACCCCTCAATGATAACAGTCCAGACAGGTAATGCACCTGGTTTTACATTAACTTAAGGTGCCTTCACACCTGTGGATCAATTCTCTTGTTCCGAAACAGGGATTAAAATTGTTACAATGTTGCTCTTTGTTTTTGATGCGGTTTCAAATGAGTCAAAAGAGCTTAAACAAGTCACGTGTGAGTAAACTCCCCTCACATTGGTCAGAATTTTCCTTATTTTAATTTATGACAATAAATAGGCCATTACAAGCGAAAAGCTCCGATTTCATTTTGAATAGTGACACCCACAGATATCGTCACTAAATATAACTCAAAGATAAGACTTTCTCATACATAGCAGTTGGCTTATGCATCATAGGCTTTACAATATATAGAGAAATAACAGATAAACCAAGACTGCTGTTCGGTCAATTTTCCTAACGGATAAACAGCTCTCCTTAATAGTTAAGCAAGCTTTCACTTTCATATTTTACATGAAACACAAATTTACTGGTGGGAATGACATCCCGCCCTACTCATCATTCAATCTTCATATAGCCATACATGCCTAATAGATATCCACAATACATTGTGATATAGCCTGGCTCAGATTTTATTGCTTTCTCACTACAATCGATCCGCTCCAGAATTTGTTTCAATCGAGTTGAGACCACCTCATTCAAGCGATTTCAGACCGATTGTTTTAGGCCAGAGTCAGGATTGCTGGATTCACATATTCCAAACAAACCACACCAACTGGGGAAACACGCCAGGTTCCGAAACAAAAGTCTAGATGTGAAAGCACCCTTAAGGCTGATTTATACTTCTGCGTCAAACGCCGGCGTATGCTACGGCGCTGACGCATAGCCCTTCGCCGTGGCCGTCGCTGTCACTGACGTGCACCTCTCAAAAAAATGTAACTACACGTCGCAACGACGCGTAGCGTAAGCTCTGTGATTGGTTGGCTTGGTAGCGCTGATGAGTCTGGGCGGGACCGAGAGCCGCGCGAATGGCGCGAGCGATTGTTTACATGTGTGGAGTACCGTGAAGGAGCTCCGGATGGAAAGTTTTGTTTTGTGTTTACCTCATAGTTAAAGTTGTTGCACGTCTGCCGGTTCCTGCCTCAAAATGAGCGAGTTTGAGCCACTTGTTCATCCCGGAAGTGTTCAGGAAAAGCAAAAAAGCAGCGAAGAAACTCGACACAGAGGAACATTTACACCTCACTGCCAACTAGCGTTTCGGAAGTGTTAAAGCAGACCGACAGAGACAGCGCGCAGAAGTATAAATGCATAGCCACGCGCGTTGCATGCGCCGTGGGTTACGCCGGTCACCTGACGCAGAAGTATAAATCAGGCTTTAGACATGCACATGGTTGAATTGTTTTTGCTATAAGATAACACAATGTTTTTGTTATGTTAGGAGTATTTGGAATGAGTTCAAAAGTTTTTGGTATGGGTCTTTCAGTTTGGTACACATATGCAGCATTGTTTTAACCTCTGCTGAACCTACACTACTAGTTTTAGCAAAGTTTTTAACAAATTGACTTAAATTCTTAAATCCCAAAACCAATTGTATTGAATGCCGTTTCAGGTGATGCGTGAATGGCTGTTCATAAGCATTATTTATACCACTCCTCCCATTCAAAATTTCTGACAGCTTTGTGTTTCTTTCAGTTTTTCCTTTCAGAGTCATTTTGTAAATTCTGTCCAATATTTAGACATTAAATCAATTTTATTCTTTTTGATGTGGCGTGACAACTCGTAAACAAAATGTCACATAGTATTACTTATACCTCCGGCAACTCATTCAGTGACAACAGCTGTTTAATTCACTAGAGAATTCTAGAAACTCCAGAGAGAGACTATAGAGAGGATAAGTTTTCTATGTATGTTGCGCCATATTTGTCTTTTTATCCATTGTGGGGTATTTAACCTGTTAGTAATGGCTTAGGTTTTTAATATAAATGCTCAAATAATCTGTCTTATGAAACAACAAAGTGGAGTAGAAACATTTTATGATTAGATTTAAAGACTAAAACTGCCTTTTGTGGCACATAATTAAAGCATTTTTTTATTTTTGGCTTGTCTCATCTAGACAAGAAAAATGACTCCTTGCCCTGCTCACCGGTCATCATTCCATTACCTTCCAAACGGGGCAGAAAGAAGAAAGAAACACTCCCGCTAGTTGGCTCTCCTACTGGGACAGATCCCTTGATTTTGGGTCTTTCAGGACAGGTATGGCAACCATACAAACAGAAAAATATATATATTTTACATTGTTATTATATTACTTTGTCTGCAAAAAAGTGATTAACTCACAGATAAATGATAAACAGATAAACGAGCACAAGTTGATAAGACGTCTTAAGATTTTTTTTGAAAAGGCTGCATTTATTTGATCGCAATACACAGCTAACCAATGTCTGTACTTCTGATACTAATTTAATGTGTGCTCCTTGCTGAACTTATGTATTAATTTCCTACAAAAATAATCATATTTTATGGTCTACAGACAGTAATTTTAAAGAAGTTGTATACCCTGTGTACATATACACTACCGGTCAAAAGTTTGACATTTAAAATCATATTTAATCAACATTCAAAAATCTTACTGACCCCAAACTTTTGACCGGAAGTGTAAACATATGTTTTAATTTGGTCACGTTTTATTTTGATGGTCCGTTTGTTAAATTAAGTTGCATTGCACTTTGTCATGTACCTGCAAAGTTTAGTCAGTTAAATGTCTGTTGAAGCAGCAGTATCAAGAGATATTACACAGTCATTCTACTAATACTCAAATGGGCCATCAAAATAAAGAGTTACCGTTTTTAAACCAGGTCCCAAACAAATCTGAAATGACATCCTTGGCTTTTCATGTGAAGAGCCAATCTATATTTTGTAATATGATGACATCATCACTTATGTGTTGACCTTATGGCGACTTCAGACTGCACGTTTTCAGAGTAGTCTCGTCACAATTGTTTTCACACTGCATGACTATCTGGGGTAGCATTCAGTTGCTGCTGTGTTTATACTGAAAGATGGATCGGCAACAGGGGGTTTTACACTGCATGACTTTACAATAGGAAGCATAACCGACAACTTTGTCTTTTGTCCACAAACTATGTCTCACAAACAAAAACACGCGAGAAGTAACATGTAAACAATGCGAGGTCAAGTAGTATATCTTTAGTTATTAACTTCATAATGAGAAAGAAGTCTTTAGTGGGATATAAAATGAACATATTTTGCTCACCTGGCTTTGAAAGGAGTTAGCTGATTCTCTTAAACTTTCTGTTTCGGTATTGCTCAGATGCCATGTCAAACAGGGATGGGTGCTCCTGCCAAATTTACACGTTTCTTTCTCCAATTATTGGGTCCAAATTAGTGCTGTCAATCAATTTTTAAAAAATATACTAATTAATCACACTTTTTTTAATTAATCGCGATTAATCGCATTTAAAAGACTGAAAATTGTAATTTTGGCTTTTTGAATGTAAAATTAATATAAACGCAAGACAAAAACTATTTAAATTCAAAATATAATTGTTAAATAGAATTTTTGTTTAACTTGTAACACAGATTTGTTCATGTAAACAACATACCCACAATAAACTATCAAGATCCTGGCTTGACAGCCATATTTATTACAGAAATAAAAACACAGGCATGTTAGTGCCATTTGAATTTTAAAACAATCAATGCCAATAAAGAAAACATTGATTTCCATGTTGGAGTCTAAGTGGACTGCAAAAAAATGCCAAAGAACAGGCATTACAAATATGGAAAATGAAAAATTATAATGATAATAAAGTATTGAATACAAACAATTGCACTCATTGCAGGGCTGGACTGGGACAAAAAAATCGGCCCTGGCATTTTGGGCCAGATCGGCCCACTATATCAATTAAAATGCTCCCCATCTGTGCGCGCTCTTGAATATGTTTAACAACTTTCATTCTATAAAAGCACAAAAGCCATATATAGGAAATAACGAGAGTTGAAAAATTAAAAACGTAAATTTTTTTAATTTAATATTATAATAAAATTATAATCAACACTGGAAGTCCATCTTGTGTGTGCCTGTGTGTTTTGAGGGAGCCTAATAAATAATGAACATAACAAAAACTGGCTGCTGACGCACACAGTTAATGTTGATTAATAAAATAAAGATAAATATTACTGTCACTATAAGCCTAGATCATGCTGACAATCAAAAACACAATGTCATGATATCTCATGCGATTGTCTCCTGACCGACTGACACCCCTCATAGAGATTGAGAAGCAGACATTATTTATAATTTGTAAAACAAAGACTTGCAGGTTAAGGAAACAGCATAGAAGGAAGTTGCCGCAGACCGTGGTGCAGATTAAAAGTAATAAAAATAAAAAGTATATTTATATCAGATAGATAGGACAGATAGGTAACTAGATAGAATTGACAGAAATATATTGATCTGTGCTCCACTGTATGCTGCAGAGTGCAGACGCAAAAGCCTGCTCGCCACCTCTGCTATCCCGCAGGTGAGAAATAGGCATGACTCTCGATTATTTGGACAAATACACACCTAAGTTGCACGCTTACACAGAGCCCAACATGGAAGTTTTTGATTGGGTCAGCCCAATGTCAATAAAGAAAAGAACCAATGGACTGCAGATTATGTCACATAGGCCGCTCTTTCTGGAAAAGAAACATCTTACTTTCAGGGTGTCACAGCTTACAGGATTCGTCAATCACTTAGGCAGAAAAACATGACAGTCTGCTAAGTGTTTTATGGGCCGATCAGATCATAAGAAGATGATCAGCCCGGCCCATAAAGTACGTCGGCCCAGCGGGAAACTGCCCGGTCTGCCAGATGGCCAGTCTGCCTTTGGCCACAACAGGAAAAAAAAAACTGCATCTGCGTTAATTGCGTAAATTTTTTTTCGTGTTAAATATTTCAAATTAATCGCATGCGTTAACGCACTAATTTTGACAGCACTAGTCCAAATAGAATGAAAATGAGCACTTTTATCTTCTCCATCTTCCCGCTGGCCTGCAGATACCCACACTATTGGATGCTGCTCTCTCATTGGCTGTAGGTAATCGCTGATGTTATTTTCAATAATAACACATTTCACACAGCATGATTTTGAATCGCGGACAGGACCAGATGTTTAGCATGCCAAATATCTCATGGGTGTCGGCAACTCATCAACAATTCTCTCGGGTAACATCTTTGATAGTTTACACTATGCGATTGTTACTCAAGTGTAGCATTTGTCAAACACCATCACATCATAACAGCAACAAAAACCAAGGCAAACTACATGTGCACAAGGTTTGTCCACCTGCTCGAAAGTGTATTCTCCATTTTAAACCCTGTGCGCACAGGGACAATTTTTAGCTCATTACTTTTCACCAACATTTAATACGTTGTGACTAAACAAAAACGACGCAGTAGGTAGTGCTGTCGCCTCACAGCAAAAGTCGCTGGTTCGATCCTCGGATCAGTTGGCTTTTCTGTGTGGAGTTTGCATGTTCTCCCTGCATTCGCGTGGGTTTCCTCCGGGTGCTCCGGTTTCTCCCACAGTCCCAAGACATGCGGTACAGGTGAACTGGGTAGGCTAAATTGTCCGTAGAGTATGAGTGTGTGTGTGTGGATGTTTCCCAGAGATGAGTTGCAGCTGGAAGGGCTGGAGATGGGTTGCGGCTGGAAACCCATCGCTGTGGCGACCCTGAATTAATAAAGAGACTAAGCCGACAGGAAAATGAATGACTAAACAAAGGGCGCAGAATGTCAGGCGTAAAAGCATCATAAAAAAAAATTCAGATTTATTTTTTATTTTATTTTTTTTTTATGCCCATTGTTATAAAACTTGTCGAACAAAAAGATTGGCACACTATGTTGTTCACTTACCTGGAGCTGCTAAAGTAACACGAAAACACGCTTCATTGCTGAATCTTGCTTGTGTATAAATGCTGAAAAACATCTCAGACAAACGATGACTATAAGTGTAAGCAAATGAGTCTTTAAGGGTGTCTTTGTGGCTAAAATACAGCACCAAATACTGCTATGTCATGTATCCTGCATTTTGGACTTTTTTTTTTTCAGTGGTTTTGTTTACGTACGCTGATATTTTTTGAGACAAAACTGCGTGTAGATTTACATTTTTGTGTACATTTTTTAGAAAGAAAAAAATAAAAGATCCTACAGGGAAAGCTTTGGCTTTGTGTGGCCATAGTCTTGCATTCATAGAAGTCTTCCTAACAGATTTTTTTGTTTCTCTGCAGCATCTTTCTACACACCCTTATAGCCTCTCCCCAGAAGAAGGGCATGCTGGGAAAGAAGGCAGCAAAACATACAGGTAGGGCTTTGCAGATGAACAACAGCTCCGCATGCACTCAGTGTGTGTTTCTTACAAGCTATTAGAAGAGGCAAAGACAGAGGCAGGGATTCCTGAGCCACTCTTCATCTTCATACTGCAGCCATGCATGGCCCTCCTGGCCAACACACACACACACACACAAAGCGTCTCCTGCTTGTATGCAGTGCTTTAGTAGAAACTGTGTGTTATTCTGCTCGGCAGCATGTGCAGCCTCAGCTACACACACACACAAACACACACACACACTCCTGTCGCCATCTGCACTTGCGTTTCTGGCCTCTCATCTTACTTTTTTTAAAGCCAGAGTCTACGATTTCCCACCCGCGTCTCTCTCTCTCTCACCCTCCAGCTTGTGTTGTGTCTCTTTCTCGCCCGTTTGTCGCGTCTCACGTTTCTCCTTTCACTATTGACGGATCAGGCTTGTAACTTTCCTTTTCTCTTTGTCCTGTTTTCATTCGTACTTTGCCCTCTCCCATGTTTTCCTCCTCTCTCATCCCTTTGTCGTCCCCTTTGGTGTGTTTGTGTGTGTGTGTTTTTCTGTCTATAGGTGCCGGATGTGTGGTTTGACGTTCTGCAGTAAGTCAGACATGCAGCTGCACTCCAAGTCACACACGGAGGTGAAAGCTCACCAGTGTCCGCACTGCTCCAAATCCTTCGCTAACACCAGCTACCTGGCCCAGCACATCCGCATCCACAGCGGTGCCAAGCCCTACACCTGCTCCTACTGCCAGAAGGCTTTCAGACAGCTCAGTCACTTACAGCAGCACACACGGTACTCAGCACCGCACCTCAGTTGTGTGTGTGTTTGTGTGTGTGGAGTGTCTGTGGCAAAGCTGGCGGGTGATGGAGAGTGTGTGTGACGGCTTTTTAATACCTGCTAGTAGACCTTGGGAGTGCCTGTGTTTCTCAGCTTTATGATACAGAGCAAATCACATACTACACTACCTGACAAAAGTCTTGTCGTTGATCCCAGTTGTTAGAGCAACAAATAATAACTTGACTTCTAGTTGATCATTTGGAAAAGTGGCAGAAGGTAGATTTTTCCATCTGTTGAACTGCATCCCAATCATCACAAATACTGCAGGAGACGTATTGGAACCTGCTTGGACCCAAGATTCTCAGAGAAATCATTCAAGTTTGGTGAAGGAAAAATCATGGTTTGGGGTTACATTTAGTATGGGGCATGCGAGAGATCTGCAGAGTGAATGCCAGCTCAGTCACCAGACATGAACATTATTGAGCATGTCTGGGTTAAGATGATGGAGGAGGCATTAAAGATGAATCTTGATGAACAGATGACTTTATTAAAAAGTTATTTGAGTCATTGCAGAGATGTATGGATGCAGTCCTCCAAGCTCATGGGAGTCATACACAATCTTCATTATTTTTCCACTGTACCATGACTCTATATTCTATACTGAACATTATTTCTGTTGAAAGAGAAGACTTTTGTTTAAGCAAAGTCAGACCTTACTGTCCTAATTAAATAAATAAAAATCAAGACATGATCATATTTTATGTTAGTAAAATAATTGAATCTAGAGGCCTTTGCCTTTCATATAAGCCACTTCTGATACCAAATGATCAACTAGAAGTCAAGTTATTGTTTGTTGTCCCTAATATTTGGATAGGCCATAAGACTTTTGTCAGTGTATATTGTACCATAAAATTGCAAGAGATATTGCAAAAATATATGAAATCATAATTCAAACAGCATCCAACATGCTAAAGAAGAGACTCTGGATGTTGGTAAGCGAATGTTTTGATTACTCCGATACCACAAAATGTTGCACCAATATTCAAATTCTGGCCAATCATGACAGTTCGTACTCTGTGCACAACCAAAATATAATTAAATATTGCTGTATACCAATAAATGGTTAAAAATATAGTACTAAAATTATATTAATACTCTTATAAATATAATAGCTTTATTAATAACATAAACAGCTTTGAAAAAAAACTTAAGAGACCACTTGGAAATTCTCATTTTCTCTGTATTTAGATATATATTTTTCTTTTTTGTAAACTTTTTTTTTTTTTTTGTAATTTTTTGTAAAATTTCTAAACAATACAAATGTTTACAGTTTATTCAAACCCATTCCAAAAAAAAACGGCTGCGGTTATCCTTTTCCATAGCTCTTTATGTCTTTATTTTGTAGTTTTTACATTTTCAAAAAAAAATTTAATGTTATGCTATAAATGTAATACAAAGAGAAACATTTTCACACCAGTTTTGGTTTGATTGTAAAATACTGTCATTTTAAATATCATTAGATATTATATAAAGTAAATTACATTTATTTATTACCTTTATGCTCATTACCATTCATATTTATTATTTTTGTTATTACAACACCTTATTACCTGATATTCTGTAAGGCCCCTTCACATGGGGTGTCAGCATCAATGCTTCCTATTTATTTTAAATGGGTGATGTCAAGCATTGCCAAACTGAATTGTAAATCCGTCGATGCTGCTTTTCTCAACTTTTGAAGCACCAATGGAAGCGTCAGCCAATCAGATCGCTTTCTGCAAATACCCCAGCTCAGACAGCAGCCAATTGCGGACTAATTTCATTGACTGATGCTGCCCAACTTCATACATGCCCTCCGTCAGGCGTTGACGCTGTAGCTCCATGTGAATCGGCGTAAATGTAGTATAAAGATAAACATTTTCTGATCAATTTTGGCTTGATTGTAAAGTACTGTCACATTAAATATTATTCTAAAGTAAACATGTTAATTTATTTCATAAACAATTCCAGTAGCTACTGCCTAGGTTTTATTTTAACCCTGGTTAAAAAACCACCATTTTTTTATTGGTTCAATTGTAGAAAAGTGTAAATAAACTAGACTAGGACCATTATAATGTGTAACGTTGTTCACCACAAGTGAGTGCACAATTTTTTCTCAAAAGCCAAATGCTAGCAAGTCAGTAACTTTTTTCCATTTGGAAAGCAGTGGCTGACAGTATTTTTAGCCCAGCTTACTTCGTAGCTAACTGTCAGAATGCCTGGGCGTTTAAAGTGTTTTCTGTGACCTCTGCATTCCTCTTTCCGTTGTGCTCCTCTGTCTGTCAGTTTTTGAGTGCAGAAAGTGTCCTGAGACATCCATGGTCACATTGGAAAGGTTGACAACAGCGCCTCATCTTACTATGCTTGTTGCTATAGCAACATGCTTTCATGATGGTTTGCATATATGCAAGTTTATATGTAATGGACTTCGTAATTATATACTGCAGTCTTTATAATGGGTAACTCAGCAGTTGCTGATGTCACCACATATAGTCGAAAGATTTCTCATTAAAGTGTCCTTTTAATGCTTTTTTTTCAGTTATTATCTTTCATGTAGCATGATTGTAGCTATGAAGTAAAAGGACTGGAGGGTTTTAAAGATCAAAGTGCACGCTTATTGGAGCTATTGTCTTGAAAGAAAGAATTACTTTTGAGGTCACCCCATTATGATTTAGTTGTTGATATTATTAATTTAAATATACTTACTTAAATTCACAATATTTAAATAAATAAATCAATTAGTAAATAAATAAAATGCAGCCTCTAAATTATTGTGGATTGATCAGCGCCACTGATGTAGCTGATTCACTGAGATTGCACAGTTTTTATTAAGAAATTTTTATTTTTGAAATGAAAAAGTTGTGTTTTATCTGATTGAAAACCACAAATCTAAATAAATAAATAAATGAATAGATGCATTTTGAAATCAGCTTTTCAGAATCGAGTTTATTTAGCAGCTCCATTGTTTTGCTGGTTGACTTAAAAGGGCCAAAAATCTAAGTGATTTTGTGGCTGTATTTTGCAAAAAGGTACATCAATAGAATATGTGTTAATATATTGTGGCTCAAAAAGGAACATGGATAAATGATAGTATTAGGGTCTGTATAAAAGTAACTTACCTGAAAGATGTTTTTAAACTAGCTTTTTTTGGTTTTTATTTGGTTTGCACGCGTACTTGCTGAATTATTTCAAGGAAAAAATGCTATACTCAAGAGTAATTAATGGAATTTATTAAAACTTCATTATTTCATTTACCAGAAACAAAAATATAACCTTACTCATTATTCACAATATATACACAATTCATGATCATATCACAAATATGAACATGTCTATTTTTTGTGTGTGCCACCACAAGATTTGGTGTGGCCTTACTTGACCACCCCTATTCATATAATGGAAGTCAGTGGGTGCTGAGATTCAGAAAAACACATTCAAAACAAATAATAATTACTACAAGCGGCTCCTGAAGATGCACTAAAGTGAAATGATCACTCTGTGCAACAAAATAAATATCATATTCCAATGCTATCTTGTGGAAATGTGTAACTTTTCAATTTATAGTCTAATTTATATGAATTTATATGATCTTTCATGAATTTAGTTCCCAATGACAGTTGGGTTAGTGGGTTTGGTGCCTTTTTTTTTCATCTGTTTTTGGACGAATTACAAATTAGCCACTAAACTGACTAAACATAAAATAGTTATGTTTCCTTGTGAGATCAGGCTGCATATTCAAACCCTGGGCAAACTGCTCTGAGCACGTACAGTGAAGTATGCTTATGAGTGTCTCGTCGCTTAATGATGCGGGTGCCATTTTGTGGGCACAAAATGCACTTGGGTTTGTTTACAAAAGCGAGAGAGCGGACGTTGTAAACTCACACTGCAGTCCTCCGCGCTGATCTGATAAATGGTTGTGGTTTGCCAGTAGAGTCATTGTTTCGTGTAAACTTCTTGCATACGAGACAGAATGACAACCCTTATTAATTGTTATAAATATTTTTATTGGTGCCAGCATGACATTTAATAAGTTTTAGAGTTGTTTAGAGTTTAAATGCAGAAAATGTGGCTAAAATAAATGGTGCCACTGGAATTTCAGTACAATTTTGGTCAGACTTTGAGTCCTTCTTAAATCTGATAAGATACTGAGCTATTTATTTAACTACTTATTCTCATTATTATTATTGGTCAAACTTTATTTTGATAGTCTGTTTGTTGAATTTAAGTTACATTGCATCTGCATGCCAACTATTTCTCATTAAACTAAGTAGACAGTTAGATTGGGGTTGGGGTTAGTGTAAGTTGACACGTACTTGCAAAGGTTCTTATAGTCAGTTACATGTCTGTTTAGCAGCAATATCAACAGATATTAAGCAGACAGTCTACTTATAGTCAAATGGACCATCAAAGTAAAGATCCTGAGCTATTTATTTAGCTATTTGTTCTCATTATTATTATTTTCTCTTATATGGTTGGAGTGGTCTTATTGTAAATGGTGATACATTTATAACTAGAGACTTGTAGAAATTAATTTCAGTCACACCAGCAGAAAAAAAGAGGTTGCAAAATGTGACCATATAATCTTTAACACTGGTTTAGAGAGACCACATGCTTGAATGAGACGTTTTATTCAATGAGAATAGTGGTGATGCCCCAAATGTACATTTTATTAAATTTTTTATTGATTGATTTTTTTTTTTACTTATTCCAGGAGTTCTTTAGAATCTTTACAATTGCATATAAGGGTCAATTTAAATGTATTATTGATAGACTCAAGGAAAAATCGCTAAAAGAAAAGTTCTGTTTTTTTTTTTTTTTTTTGCTAAAGAATGAAAGAAATTTTATTTTATTTTTTCTTCATTTCCCTTTCATGTCTTTCTCTATTTATATAATTTATTTCTCCTCTGACCCACTGTTTTATTACTGCAGACTACTTAAACTTTTACACACTTGTGCACACACACACACACACACACACACACACACACACACTGACTTTAGGGTTGAACTGAAATTGCAGCTGTCATTGAACAGCCAGTTCTCTCTGACTCTACATTATTATCCCATAACTGTGCAGAAGTTTTACGAGGTTTTGCCCCGCTTTGAAATAGAGGTCACCTAAAGGTTTCGTCCACTCCTGATCACACTTGGATCTGAGATTGGGCTCTGCAGCCCACCGGGTCCCTGTGAGGATTTAGTGCAAATGTTTTCTTGAGAAATGGATCTGCCCCTTACTGTGACCTCATTCAAACACCCACCGCGCCGCTTTCAAATGTGTCTCCAAAATGCACCGTGCACTTTTGACAATCGTTGACAGTACTGATAGGACCCACCTAAGAAAGGTCAGCAGAGCGAGTGTAGAAATCAGGAATATTGTCAAGTCTAATATTTGTGTAGTGTCTGTAAATTATTGAGTGAGCCCTCGGGTAAGAATGTTTGTCTTTCCTTCTTTACAGAAACCACACAGAATCCAAACCTCATAAGTGTCCTCACTGCACGAAATCATTTGCCAACTCAAGCTACCTTGCTCAGCATGTGCGAATACACACTGGAGTTAAACCGTACACCTGTAACTACTGCGAGAAGACCTTCAGACAGCTCAGTCACTTACAGCAACACCACAGGTAACGCGCTGGACATCTTTTCATTTCATGCGTGCTTATGTAGCTGTTATCATCATATATGCTCATGTTTGTTTTACTGTTCATTTCTTACCTCTCGACTTCAATTTTGTGCCTGTTCAGGATCCACACAGGAGACAGGCCATACAAATGTACACACATGGGCTGTGAAAAGTCTTTCACTCAGCTCTCTAATTTGCAGGTCAGTATTATATTCCGTTTCTCTGTTTAAATTTAAAATGTAGATTAGGGCTGCACAATATATCGTTTCAGCATCGATAGTCAATAGTTACATTGCGAGTTTACACAATGTTGAGTCTGGTTTATAACATATAATTTTCCCAGGTTTTTTTTAGGCCTGTGATTAATAATGATAAAGTTTTGTTGAATTGTTTAAAAAGAAGACTACTCACTATTATTTTACATTTGATCATTCAATTACTGTATACCTGAATACAGTTCAATGACTTGAAAAACAATAAAATGCTGTTTATATAATTTGTATATTTTTCTGTATTGAAATTAAACGGGCGAGGCAGTGGCGCAGTAGGTAGTGTTGTCGCCTCACAGCAAGATGGTTGCTGGTTCGAACCTCGGCTCAGTTAGCGTTTCTGTGTGGAGTTTGCATGTTCTCCCTGCCTTTGCGTGGGTTTCCTCTGGGTGCTCCGGTTTTCCCCACAGTCCAAATACATGCGGTACAGGTGAATTGGGTAGGCTAAATTGTCCGTAGTGTATGAGTGTGTGTGTGAATATGTGTGTGGATGTTTCCCAGAGATGGGTTGCAGCTGGAAGGGCATCCGCTGCGTAAAAACTTGCTGGACAAGTTGGCGGTTCATTCCGCTGTGGCGACCCTGGATTAATAAAGGGACTAAGCTGACAAGAAAATGAATGAATGAATGAATGAATTTAAACGTGCTTGTTTCTTATATTTTTTGCATGCACTCCCCTACAGAATCATCCCAATCAATCTAAAATTTTAAATTTTTTCCAAATATTTTTTCAACACATCTATTGAAATTGTATTCATATCACAATATATATCGCAGAATAAAAAAAATCTCATAATGTTAGATTTTTCCAATATCGTGCAGCCCTAATGTAGATTATTTACACACTTTTATTTAGATGATGGTTCAGCCAAAACTGAAAATTTCTAACATAAGTTTCGAGCATTTCTTCTGTTGAACATAAAATAAGATATTTTGAAGAAATCCACAACCACATCACCCTGCAAGACAAAAACAGTTGTTCACTGAAGTTAAGCAGGGCTGAGTCTGGTTTTTTTCCTGGATGAGTGACCATTTGGGAAAAACTGTTGGAAGTAGTGTTAGCGAGGCCAGCAGGGGGGGCTCCTCCTGCGGTCTCTGTGGGTCCTAATACCCCAGTATAATGAAGGGGACACCTATATTTGTTTTTTTCGCACATCAGTCTCGTGCTTGTCCGTTTCTGACAGGATTGGATGTCAGAAGCACTTCAATAATCACACGCACATTATTATCATTAGCTCAAGTTTGTCATTTCAAATATAATTTGAGCTTGGGTCGACCAGGGCTTGTTGTTATATGTATATATTATTATGGTGTAATGTTTCGACTGTGTATTTAAAACATGGCGGTTTCCTTTGTTTTTATTCTGTCTTTTCCACGAGCGAGTCACTTATCTCTGTAACCCACTAGCGTTCAGTTGCAAGTCTAACTCTGCCTTTTGGTACCCAAAAAGTGGTACGGTTCGCTTTTAGGTACCTTTGGACAGTGGAAAGTTCAGCCATAAAAGCTTACCGTACCGTACCACTCAGTGGAAACAGGCCATAAGTTCAGGGCTCTCTCCCAGCACAGCATGCCAAACAAGCTTTATTATCAATCATCAACTAAGTTGTAACATTTAAATTACTATAAAAGTCAATAGTTCCAACATTTTGCTAAATATCTTCTTTTGTGAGAAACTCAAACAGATTCATGACACGTGAATAATGAATGAATGACGTCAGAATTTTCAGTTTTAGGTGATCTGTCTCTTTAAATTTCTGTCTGTTCTACGTTACTGTACACTTTCAGAACATAAAACAATGCTGGATTGTTTTATGATGCTTTTATAAAGCTTGACAACCCCAGCTCCCCATCCAGTTTCATTGCTTTTGACAGACTCTGCTTTTAACAGCTTTGGAAAACACCACCGCAACAGTGCGATTAAATGATGACAAATTATTTTTTGTTTTTGAGTAAACTCTCACTCCCTTTCTCTCAATCTTTTACAGTCCCATCGGCGTCAGCACAACAAGGACAAACCATACAAGTGTCACCACTGTAATCGAGGATATGTAGACGCAGCCGGCCTGGATATTCATCTGTCCACGCACACGGTTAAGCATGCTAAGCTGTACTCCTGTGGTTTATGCCACCGCACATATACCTCGGTACAATCATCAGCACCCAATCTCACAGCATTCCCAACCCTTTCTCAAAATGATTCTCATGTGTGTATCTCTCTGCCTGCAGGAGACGTATCTAATGAAGCACATGCAAAAACACGCTCCGGATATGCTTCCATCTCCACCTGGATCAAACCAGCATAGTCACAGTCCCGGACGCGCTGGAGGAAGCGGTTCAGAAGGAGACGGGCAGAGCAGAATTGAAAGGAGTGATGTTTTCGTCCAACCGATCAGTGTGCCGTGTGTGTATGACATGAACCAGTACAAACCAGTACCTGCAGCAGACGTGCAGTACAAAACCGTCAGCGTGTCTGACATCTCGCCTCACAAAGACCTCTGCATCACCGTGGAGGCTTCAGCCATACAGGCGAACCACCTGAACTCCTGAGGATCAAACTGTGGAGGTTAGAAAAACTGTTGTAGATGACGAGATCCACACAGAGCTGTGGAGACAGAGCGAATTTTCTTATTCAAAGGCGCATTGTTTGTGTGAAAGAGCAAGAGGATTTGAATGAACTCAAATGAAGGAGGTCTACTTTTGTATTGTTTTCTTTTCCTTTTTTTGTTACATTTGTTGCTGCAATCCTGATCTTCCTCACAAAAAGCTTCCTTGAAGGCTGTGGCTGTTTCGGTGGGTGTCAACTTCATATCTCCAGTCTTTCCATGACATTTTTGCTAGTTTCACTCGTTTATACGGTGGTTTTTGTCTGTAGGTGTTGGTACGATCACTCCAGCATCACCATTACTATTGTTACTGTCAACAAGAATGGTAATATTGTGTCTTGCACAGTAGGTTTGGAAATTGTTTCTTTTTTTTCCATTTTAAAAGGGAAGTTTGTTTGCAGTCAAACAAAAGCACGTATATATGATTATCAGATATATTGTGTGTATATGAGTAAAGGATAACAGCAAACAGGACACAAATATATTAGGAGATGGATTTTATGGAAAACAAATGATTATGTGTAGTGTTTCTATCTGCAGACGACATGTAATATTCTATTATTACTGTTTTTACTGTTTTACTATTTAAAAAAAACAGAGCAATTATGCACCCCAGACATCAACCTCTAGACATTACCAAAATCAGATTACTGTGCATTAACCTTTTAAAACGAGATATTAAAAAAATTATAATTGTGTGCCGCATCGTGATCTTTGCCTTACAATCATTGCTTAATTGCTTTTTAGGATACTTAACCAATCGGTAATGTTTTTTGTTGTTGTTTTATTTTGGAACTTTTTTTTGGAAAACTCTCTGGTTTAGAAAATTTATTTACTTTGTGAGTGGTATAATTTAAGCTTAACAGTATTATTAGCAGTTTAAGTATTTAAGTATTCAGTTGAGGTCAGATTTATTAGCCCCCCTTTGATTATTTTTTTTAAATATATATTTCCCACATGAATTTTAACAGAGCAGGGACATTTTCACAGTATGTCTGATAATATTTTTTTCTTCTGGAGAAATTCATATTTGTTTTATTTCGGCTAGAATAAAAGTAGTTTTTAATTTTTAAAAACCATTTTATGGACAAAATTATTAGCCCTTTTAAGCTATATATTTTTAAGATTAGTCTCCAGAACAAACCATCATTATACTATAACTTGCCTAATTACCTTAACCTGCCTAGGTAACCTAATTAACCTAGTTAAGTCTTTAAATGTCACTTTAAGATGTATAGAAGTGTCTCGAAAAAGATCTAGTCAAATATTATTTACTTTCATCATGGCAAAGATAAAATAAATCCGTTATTAAAGATAAGTTATTAAAACTATTATATTTATAATATATAATTCTGAATAATTCGAATAATTCTGACTTCAACTTTATATACAGTTAGGTCCATAAATATTGGGACAAAATTTTTGGCTCTTTACACCAACACAATGGATTTGAAATGAAACAAGATGTGCTTTAACTGCAAACTGTCTGCTTTAATTTGAGGGTATTTACATCCAAATCAGGTGAACGTTGTAGGGATTACAATTGTTTAAATATGTGCTTCCCACTTGTTAAGTGTCCAAAAGTAATTGGACAATTGGCTTCTGATCTGTTCCACGGCCAGGTGTCTGTTATTAACTCATTATCCCAATTAAAATGAGCAGATAAAAGGTCCAGAGTTCATTTTAAGTGCGCTATTTGCATTTGGAATCTGTTACTGTCAACTCAAGAGATCCAAAGAGCTGTCTCTATCAGTCAAGCAAGCCATCATTGGGCTGAAAAAACAAAACAAACCCATCAGAGATCGCAAAAACATTAGGCGGGGCCAAAACAACTGATTGGAACATTTTTAAAACGAAAGAATGCACCAGTGAGCTCAGCAACACCTAAACACCCAGAAGACCACAGAAACAACTGTGGTGGACGACCAACGAATTCTTTACCTGGTGAAGAAAACACCCTTCACAACAGTTGGCCAGATCAAGAACACTCTCCAGGATGTAGGTGTATGTGTGTCAGAGTCATTAATCAAAAGAAGACTTCATCAGTGAATACAGAGGGTTCACCACAAGATGTAAACCATAGGTGAGCCTCAGAAACAAAGGCAGATTAGAGTTCTAAAAAAGCCTTCACAGTGCTGAAACAACATCGTATGGACAGATGAGACCGAGACCAACTTGTACAACAGATCAACAGAGTGATGGGAAGAGAAGATTATGGACAAAGAAACAAACTGCTTATGATTTTAAGCAGTAAAGCGTGGGGGTGGGGGTGGGGGTGGGGGTGGTGATCATGGTGTGGGCATGTATGGCTGTTTATAGAACTGGTTCTCTTGTATTTATTGATGATGTTACTGCTGACTAAAACAACCGGGTGAATTCTGAAGTGTTTTAGGCAATATTTTCTGCTCATATTCAGCCAAATGCTTCAGAACTCATTGGACGGTGCTTCACAGTGCAGATGGGACAATGAACCAAAGCATACTGCAAAAGCAACAGAAGAGTTTTTGAAGGGAAATAAGTGGAATGTTATGCAATGGCCAAGTCAACCACCTGACCTGAGTCCATGCATTTCATTTGCTGAAGACAAAACTGAAGGAAAAAGGCCTGGAGAGCATCACTAGGAATGAAACCCAGCATATGGTGAGGTCTATGCATTCCAGACTTCAGGCTGTAATTAACGGCAAAGGATTTGCAACCAAGTATTGAAAAGTAAAAGTTTGAGGTATGGTTATTAGTTTGTCCCATTACTTTGGTCCTTTCACAAGTGGGAGGCACATATGCAAACTGTTGTAATTTCCACCCCGTTTACCTAACTTGGTTGTAAATACCCTCATATTAAAGCTGACAGTCTGCAGTTAAAGCACATCTTATTCGTTTCATTTCAAATCCATTGTGTTGGTGTATAGAGCCAAAAATCTTAGAATTGTGTCAATGTCTCAATATTTATGGACCTAACTGTACATTTACCTTTATTAATATACATGTATTTTAGATTAAATTATACTTTATATATAAAATATACTTTATTTATAAAGTATTAAAAATAAATTTATTAAGTAAACAAAAATATAGTGATCAGTGTTGGGGGTAACACATTACAAGTAATGCAAATTACACAATAATATTACTTTTCTGAGTAATGAGTAAAGTAATGCATTACTTTTAAAATTAAGAAATTAGTTTTTTAATGTAATGTGATTTTTTTATTTGATTTGCATTTAAAAATAAATTGCTAAATTAAAATGAATGTAATCATGTTGAATTCTGCACACAATGTGAGAATTTTCGCCCTGTGGGAACAGACAGAAATGAAGATTGCAGAACCTTGGGTTTACCTGGGAGGAGTGGATGGAAGAGGTAAATGAAACGAAATGCTCAAACTATGAGGAGATAGAAGAGAAGTGCCAGGAAGGGGGCTGGAAGACCCACTGTGAGATGGGAGGGTTTTGCAGAGCATTCACTCGAAAGACCAATATATAGAAGCTCAAATACAGCAGTACATTATGCCACATACATAATAATTTTTTTCTCAACTCTTTTTTTTTTTTTGCATTTAAAATAGAGCTGTCCAAGGAGGGTAAAATCTAATAGTGATTTTTCTGAAATTGTGATTTGATTCCATTTGTGATTTTAATTTAGTAAACAGCTCAAAATTATCAATGGTGTGTAACACACTTTAAAAAAAGACAATACAACATGGTTTAACAGTAAATCTATAAATAAATATTATGTCTAAATAAATAGCCTATATACAGTGTGTAGCTTTTATATGTTTTATCTGAATTATATATATATAGGTGGCATAGTAGGTAGTGCTGTCGCCTCACAGCAAGAAGGTCGCTGGTTCGAGCCTCGGCTGGGTCAGTTGGCGTTTCTGTGTGGAGTTTGCATGTTCTCCCTGCGTTTGCATGGGTTTCCTTTGGGTGCTCCGATTTCCCCCACAGCTTAAAGACATGCAGTACAGGTGATATGGGAGATTAAATTGTCCGTAGTGTATGAGTATGAATAAGTGTGTAGGAGTGTGTATGGATGTTTCTCATAGATGGTTTGCAGCTGGAAGGGCATCTGCTTCGTAAATAATGGATAAATGGATAAGTTTGCGGTTCATTCTGCTGTATTAATAAAGATTAATAATTATTTCCCAGAATAATAAAGGGACTTATCCGAAAAGAAAATGAATGAATGAATGATATTTACACAGTTGTTAACAGAATAATTAAACCCCGTTTATTTTTTTGCCCAATTTCATGAAAGATTTTTTTCAACACATTTCTAAATATAATTATTTTAATAACTAATATCTAATAACATTTATTTTATCTTTGCCATGATGACAGTAAATAATATTTTATTTTATTTTTTCAAGACACTTCTGTACAGCTTAAAGTGACATTTAAAGTCTTAACTAGGTTAATTAGGTTAACTAGGCAGGTTAGGGTAATTAGGCAAGTTATTGTATAACGATGGTTTGTTCTGTAGACTATCGAAATATATAAAGCTTAAAGGGGCTAATAATTTTGACTTTAAAATTGTGTTTAAGAAATTAAAAACTGCTTTTATTTCATAGTATGTGAAATTAAAATTTTCACAAACTGAAAATTTCCTTGCTTTGTTAAGCATAATTTGAAAAATATTTAAAAAACAAAACAAAGGGGTTGCTAATAATTCTGACTTCAACTGTATATTTACATGGATATATATAATGTTTTGGGGATTTTTTTTAATGCTGTAGAAAAATAAGATAATAATAGTATAAGCAAAAGAAATGTTTTGCTAACAAATAAAGTTTAAAATAAGCATTTTCTCTTGACATTCATTCATCCGCTTTTCTGGGGCCGGATCGCGGGGGCAGCAGTCTTAGCAGAGAAAACCCAGACTTCTCTCTCCCCAGACACTTCCTCCAGCTCCTTCAGGGGGGATCCCGAGGCGTTCCCAGGCCAGCCAAGAGACATAGTCCCTCCAGCGTGTCCTGGGTCTTCCAGGAGTCCTCCTCCCGGTTGGACATGCCTGGAACACCTCCCTAGATAGGCGTCCAGGAGGCATCCAAAACAGATGCCCGAGCCACCTCAGATGACTTCTCTCAATGTGGAGGAGCAGCAACTCTACTTTGAGCTCCTCACCCTTTCCATAAGAGTGCGCCCTGCCACCCTTCGAAGGAAACTCATTTCGGCTGCTTGCATCCGAGATCTTGTCCTTTCGGTCATGACCCAAAGCTCATGACCATAGATGAGAGTAAGAACGTAGATTGACCAGTAAATCGAAAGCTTTGCCTTTCAGCAAAGCTCCTTCTTTACCACAACAGACCAGTGCATTGACCGCATTAAAAAAAATTCAAAAATTTTTCGAAGGAGGTGGTCCCCAAAGTGAAAAAGGTTGAGAATCCCTGTTCTATAAAGTCTTCAACCAACTAGACCTAGCAGTAGCAGCTAAGAAGAGGGCCATTAAAGGGCTCATAGTTTACCCCTTTTTTATGATTAAATATTAGTATTATGGTTCTCTTGAGTGTGCCAGTTTAGGCTCAGTTCAACACAGTTCAGATTTTTTTATTATAGTGTGTTCAAAAGTGTCATGTTGGGGGCGTTTACACAGTTTGCTGTCTTAGAGGCGTATTGCTTCATATGAAAATTAGTTTCGGCTTCCCACCCAACGTAACAAGGGGGCGGAGCCAAGAACTCACCCGCTCTGTGTTTTCAACAGACAGGCAG